TAAAAATTATTTCCCTAATATAGTTCCATGTTATGTTTCTACTTAGGTTGACTATGAGCTTAATGCTTCTGTCCTATCTTACAACTTTTCTCAGACTAGCTATTTTACATTTTATTTAGTTTCAAGTGTATTTGATGCATATATCCTTATTTCAAAGAAATCCTCCAGGAACCTGATGGTATTGTTCTCTGTTACTCTTTTTTCAGAATGGGTGAACCTTCTCATCATTTACAGCTTCTCCTTGCAAGGAATGCTGTACATGTCAGGACCATGTACTTTTCCCCCAGCCTTTCTAAAATAAAAATCTTGCCATACATGGATCCTTTTTGTTTCTCACTTTTACGCTTGTTTTCTTGCTTTCCTCGTTGTTTCTGGCCAAAGACTTGTTGTGTTGCCATGTGCAGCACAGCTACTGAGATGTACCAAATCAGCTTTATTTTGGTAAGGAGTAATGTAAAATCCCACTATACTTTATCTGCTTCACTAGGTAAGAGTTAAAAGATTAATTAGGAATCACAATAAGCCAAATATGAATGCACAGTACTTCAACTGATTCCACTTTAAAGGACATTGTTGTAACTAAGAACAAAATTGACATTTTCTTTTCCCTTTTGGGTTATTTACTCTTTATTTTCCCCTTATTTGTTTCTCTAGTTCTCCATATTCCAGTCTTTCCTAATTGCTACAGAATTATTCATGTCCTCTGTTGATGTTTGAGCCTGCTGTGTATCTGCCTGCTGAACATATCAACATCTGCTGTTCATTCATCTTATTACCGAGTTGATATTTTAATACAACCCTAATTTAAAAATCATCTATTCTTTCTCACTGAAGGCTCCCCAGCCACTATTAAATTTTCTTTTGCTTCTTCTTTTGTCTCACCCTCCACTCTCACAGTATCTGTTTTTATGAGACTGAATTGTTATGGTACCCCTTTCGCATATGCATCAGTATGGTATCATTCATATACACGAGATGTTTTTAGTACCCAGATTGTTTAGGTGGAACAAAATAGTCAGTATGTGCTCTTGTAGGCAAGTTTAAAACAAAAGGAATAGACATTTGCAGTTACAGATCTGAAACCATTTAGTCAGTCTTTCTTGTTATTTAAACTTGATCTTTTTCCTCCATATCCACTGGGCAGTGCTGGAAGAAGCAATGTGTGTTTCCCCAGTCCTGAGGCAGGCAGAGATGGTTTGGCTCCACAAGGTTACTCAAACATGAAGCTAGTTACATATGACCCAAGAAGCTGTCCACGAGGTATATAATTCCAGCATCTTGCTCTATGCGTGTCCCTGAACCCATAGCACACAGCAAGTCTGATGGCACAGAAGCTCTGCAGCAGCTGGATCCAGCATGTGAAAACCCATCTGCTTTTCTACCCCTTTGTGCTGGCTGGACCGAGGTTTATAATTGATTGCTTGCTTGGTCAAATGGTTTAAACTACAGCTATGCATCCTTTCAGCCTGTAGCAAAATGGGTTCACACCCCACTTCCAACATGTCAATTTACTTTATTTAGTTGTGGCCAGCTGAATACTTTGCGCTAGAAAGGACAGTTTGGAATACATATGCTCACTGTACATTCGGAGTTAGTTTCAGCTTGAAAAAAGCCAGTAATTTAAGCCATGGTTGTGAACAGCTTATGACAGAACAATCAAGTAGAGGCCCATAAATGTATTTGAAGAGAATAGAGAATAGTGTTGAAAACATGGTAATGTCATAAAATACCATCTCATCTCAAAAAAAAAAAAAAAAACCAAAAACAACAAAACGAAAGGAAAGCATACAGCAGACCCGAAGAATTTTCAGGAAAAAAAAAACTACCAAGAACTTCAATTAGTGATTGATTTAATCATAATCTCCATATAAAGAAACAAGAAAAAGATGATGATGATGTAACCTTTAGAAAGAAGAAAGGCAAGAAGACATGTGACTGTAAATTGATCATGTAAGATGATGAATTATGCAGTACTTTGTAATACAAAAGAGCAACTCAAACAAGAAATCCCACTTTGTGCAACATTTAGTCTTTGGTATGCCTGGCTGCTTGATGTTATCAAATCTTCATTAGGAGACCATAAAAGATTTAGTCAGACACAAATTTAGCTGTTCCCAGATAAGCATCTGTTTATGTGTAGGGTAAACCACCAGGACTGTCAATTCTTACATACTTTATAGGGCATGCTGATAATCAGCTGGGTGAAAGAATTTTTTCCCATATTGCATTACTAGAAAATCAGATGCATTGGTGAAGTTTACAACTTCCTCTGAAACGCTTGCAGGAAACACAAATGAAACATGAAGCAGGAGATGGAGTGACTATTAACCTAATCTGGTCTAGCAATTCTAGCATCTCTATATAACTACAATGCATATTGTTTATATGTAATACGTTATACTTGATTCATTTCCACTTACTAGGCCCAGATTAGCTTTTCATTGCTCTTCTTCACCCAGAAAGGTATATAGAAACAATTTGACTTAGCATCCAAGTGTAAGCATCTTTCCTTAGTGACGACTTTTCTAGTCTAGAAGTTGAAATTTCCTAAAATGACAGCATTGCAATCCCCCGAGATACCAACTGTATCCATGCTATCTCCTGCCACCTGACAGATATTCATACCTGTACCTCCTATCACATTTTCTTTACATTCATCCATGTTCCTGTTCTGTTCTTCCCCATTCCATCCAAATAGGTTTGGCTATAAGAACCAAAGCACTAATATTTCTGTTCTGCTAAGCCAAAGTTTTCCTGGTCTCATAATAAACACTTATCTTTCTCCTCAAGAGTCCTTTCTTTTACAGCAATTGGCTTACTAACAGACCCTCTCATTTATCTAATCTGTGTTTCCATACACGCACAACACATTCTTCACTGTACTAATGAACACTGTGTTGTTATTTGACCTTACCTCTGCTAGGCAGGCTCAATTTCAGTGACACCTCCCTCTAACCACACTTCCCAGTGCTCCCTAATGGCTCTGACCTGGATGGAGGCTGAACAGAGCGAATTGCTCATCCAACGAGTCCCAGCTCTAACAAACCAATAGAGAAACAGACAATACTGCCCTGTTTTTCCATGCTGTATCATACAGCCAGAAACCCTGTCACACTGCTTTAGCAATGGGACCATTCCCATCTTTGGCTCCCAAAATGTCCAAACGGACAGTGCTAATGATGTTAGAGTTTTGAAAGATGCTTTGCAGGCAACATTTTGGCCCAGACTTTATCCCGCTGGTGTCAATAGCAGAATCCTAACTGCAGAAAAATGAAGAGTTGATCTAACTCAAAGAGCTGAAAACTGTAATTCAAGCTTCTACTCTCTGCATAGTAAGAGGTCAACAATTAGGTTACTCCACAACTCCTTGGGCTTTTTTCTCTTCTAAGCAGTTAACATTCGGATATGATCCTACTGGGTTCCTGGTAAGGTTTAAACTGTGTTGCCTTTAAGACGGTGAGTAAGTATGGTCACCTGAATGCTATTAAATTCTGGATAGTAATAGCCCAAAACGATAATTATAAAATCAAAGTCCTGCTTGAAGAATGATTTATACTTTGAGCCTCAAGTGGATTTGTATCGATTATATTTTCCATAATTACTTTTTATGCAATATCCAAGTATTGTAAAAGATATATATATTTGTATTGTTAGACTCAAGATATGACACCCAGTTTTGGGTGAGAGCTACTTCTAGTTAATACCTTTCTGGAAGTGCTACTAATCATTGAGCAATATTCCACCTTGAGGTGCAACTTAGCCTGTGTAATGGCTAGTTCTTGCCACTGTTGAATCATGAGTAATGTTTAAAAGATAATCAGTATCTCCTCACTGTTCAGTCCATTTCTTGTCTACTGGGGAAAAAACAAGAGTCAAAATAATCCTAGACCCTACAGAGTTTATGTGGCCACTGAAAAATCCATCTCCCTAACAACCACTGATGCCAGATACCTGTTTCAAGGATAAAGATTCTTTATCTTCAGCACCTGAAGCTCTACAAATACGTGCAGAAGTTGTTTTATCTAGAGAAAAATAATCTCTCTCTTTGCAAGAAACATCCACTTCAGGGCCAAGGGATTCCAAACTATTTGGCAGAAGTTACAAACACTCCTTGATCTGGGGTGAGCCAAATGACACAGAACATTTCACTTTAAAATTCTCTATCAGAGGCACAGTCTAAAGGAAACAGAAGGAGCTGGGCATAGCATTTTTTCATTCCTGCTGCTGGGTGCCTTCCAGTGAGACATCCCAAGATATCATTGTGTCAAGGCTAATTCAGCTGTTATGAGCATAATAAACAGAGGACTTCTTTTTCCTAATTTTTAAGTTACTCAATAGTCTTTATGAAAAGAGAACTAGCAACCGCTTATCAAAAGTAGTACAACACAAGGTACTTGTTTATTCCTTTTTTATTATTTCATCTCCCATCCAAACAACTCCTTAATTCTTGAAATGGAACCACTAGTTGCTATTTAGGGCATCAAAAACATTTACTTCAGACAGTACTGAAATTGTTTCACCAACAGAAGAGACCCTAAGAAATGTGCATGTTTTGAAAGCTGGAATATAGTATCAAAGTGCTAGCAACACTTGAATTGCATTACAAATATGACTTCTATTGCTGCAATTTGAATTATTTTCTCTTTAGTTCGACACCTTACACAAGTACTGAAGCTTCCACATTTGAGCCCTTTTCCCTGCACTGTCACTGTGGCTGTATCTCTGCTGACAACTGGGGGAAGTTATACAAAGTGTCTGAGCTGTACAGACCCGCAGCCTTCACCTGATACTTGTCTCTACCTCAATAGCATCTATTTCAGGACCTGTATCCCACCCCACACCCTGCTTGACCATTCCACCCAAGTTCTCCTTTTAAGATCTGCTGCCACAGTAAGGAGTTCCTGCATTCTTTAATGGCAGTGAAAGATGTCCAACTCAGTAGGGATATCTGAGTTCAGCGGGACAACTCTGCCCTCACAGTTCACATCTCGAAGTCCTACCTTTGACACTTGAAGGGGCCTTTTCTGCTCTGAACCCCCTTGCAGCCGGAAGCCCCAGGGGGCACCTCCAGACAGGGTGATGAGCATTTCTTCTTCAGCTCCCATTATTTCTGCGCTTTGGATATTTTGTCTTTCCAACTTCAAAACAGACTCCAATTCTTAACAGGCAGTATCTTCTACTCCCATCTTCACAATTCACAACACGACTCTCCGGTCCCCCAAAAGGCCCTCTTCTCACTCTCTCCTTCAAGTTGACATACACACACAAGAGGAGAGTTGAGACTGTCAAGCCCAGCCTTCCCTGCTCTTCTGGACTCTCAGCTGCTGCTCTGCCTATGATTAGACATTTGATTCTGCTCTTGGTAAGGGGCCAGAGTTGTCCTACACACGTGTCATGTCAATCTCACCCTCTGTGCCCCCCCATATGTACCACGGATCACTCACCGGAGTGTAGCTGAAAATAGCACACCTCCTGTCTCTCCAAGAGCTTTGTCTGACACTCTTAAAGCTGGGACCATTTCAGTAAAAATTTATTTCCACTTCCCATTTGAAATACAAATCCTAGAGTGACCCAGAACTCAGGATTCATTAGTATGAGTTCCACACAAGGACACGACACAGGCACAAACTTCTACAAGATCAGGTGCTAGCACCTGACCCTGAGAAACTGAACAAAAACAAGCTTGCAAGTGATGTGCTCTCCACTTGTGTGTTCACCATGCAGCTAGTGTTACTATACAGTAGCACTGTCTGCCCTGAAAACCACAGACAGACTATAGATGTAATGTGCTCCCTCTGCAGCGTGTTGCTCCCCAACATCCCCTACAGCCACTCCTGATATTAGATATTGGGACCAGAATAGTCAGGATTAGCTACACAGATGGGATTCAAACAGTTCTCTGCAGGGCACCGCATACACAGCCTCCCCAATGACCAAGAGAACAGATTTGTACCCGGGTCATAGACTAGAGAGAATAATTTGGGTTGGAAGGGACCTTTAAAGGTCATCTAGTCCAACCCTCCTGCAATGAGCCTGGACATCTTCAACTAGATCAGGTTGCTCAGAGCTCCGTCCAACCTGGCCTTTAATGTTTCCAGGGATGGGGCACCTACCACCATTCTGGGCAACCTGTGCCAGTGTTTCACCACCCTCATTGTAAAAAATATCTTCCTTATATCTAGTCTAAATCTACTCTTTTAGTTTTAAACCATTACCCCTTATCCTGTCACAACAGACCCTGCTAAAATGTTTGTCCCCATCTTTCTAATAAGCCCCCTTAAGTATTGAAAGGCTGCAATAAGGTCTCCCCAGAGCCTTCTCTTCTCCAGGCTGAACTCTTTCAGCCTTTCTTCATAGGAGAGGTGTTCATCCCCCTCATCATTTTCATGGCCCTCCTCTGGACCTGCTCCAGCAGGTCTATGTATTTTCCTGAGCTGAGGTATCCACAGCTGGATGCAGTACTCCAGGTGAAGTCTCACCAGAGCAGAGCCGAGTCCTTCACTGTTTTCGCTTCAGGACCATGACAAACAAGACCTCCTGGCTATCCCAAGCCACCCTGAACCCTTGGAGTTGTAAGAGAAATAAAATCCATATTCTCCCTTTGCCACAGGGTGTAAAGCATAATTTTCTGTTAAGATCCCGAGGACAAACACCTCTTCCTTATGCTGAATGTGCTCAGCTCTCAACGACTAACAAATGTTTTTCCAATCTCTGATACCCTCGCACCATAACATTCGAACGAAGCAGCTTTGCTGCAACACCATTGCTCGGTTGAGCACTCCACTGCTAGTATTATACCACCACTCACCCAGGGCCACTACACGGTGCTGGTGGGCACACACCAACCAAACGTTACTAGCTACCGAACAACTCTCGCACCACCACTGCACTTCAGTGCAAAACTGGCCCCGGGTGCTCCCGCGTCGTGGTTTGTCAGGGGCCGCTGGCAGGACACACGGCGGAGAGCGCCGCGGGCAGCGGCTCAGCAGCGCCGGGCCGCGGTGGTGCCGGAGCGGCGGCTGGTCCCCGGCCGGCGCGGGGCCGGGCCCGCCGAGCCGAGCCGAGCCGAGCCGAGCCGGGCCGGGGCCGGGCCGCCGCCATCACTGCGACCCGGCGCCTCCGAACAGCCGCCGGCGCGCGAGCGCTCCCACGACGCGTCCACACGGCCCGCGAGGGCGACATCCGGCGTGCGCACCCCGGCGTGACATCAGGGCGCGCGGGCGGCAGGCGGAGCGCGCGTTCCCCACCTCACAGCGTCTGCGCCGCATCCGGGCCCTGGCGGGCGGGGCGCGGCGGCGGCGGCGGCCGGGGGTTGGCGGGGAGTGCGGACGTGGCAGGCGGCGGGTGGGGGAGCGGCGCTTCCGGGGGAGCGGCGGGTCTGGGAACCGGAAGCGGGCCCGGCAGCGGTGCCGGGAGCGGCGGGCGGCGGCGGTAAGTGGGGGCTGCGGGGCGGCTCCGGGGGGGCGCTGGGGGCGGCCGCGCAGGGGCCTGGGGCGGGTGGGCGGCTGGCACCGCGCCCGGCGGTGCGGCCGGGGCCCGGGGCGCCGCTGCCGCTGCTTTCCCCCACCAAGGAGCCGAGGCCTGGCGGCGCCCAGCCGGGTGGCACGATGGGCCCGCCGTGCCTGCGCGCCACGCCTGGACGCTGCGGGGGCTCGGGTCTTCCCCGGGAGTGTGTCCGGGCGGGAGCGCCCCGAACCGCCCGCGGCCCGGCCCAGTGGGTGCCGGCCTGCGGGGCCGGGGCCGACTGTTGCCGGGGCCACCTTCTCTAGGGCATAGGCTGCCCCGAGGGGAGCCCTCGGCGTCCCGGTGTGTTGCGGCGAGTCCCGGGGGCTGCGAGTCGGGCCGTTGCTCCTTCCCGGAGAGTCAAGCGCTTTTTTTCGGCCCGTGTGTGCTGTGAGGCAGATACCCCTTCTGCAGCGTCCCTAACGTCTTGTAATCCGCGGATCCTTCCCCCAGTGTTTGTGTTGTGCTCTTAAAGCTTCCGTTCATTAGAGGCTCGTAAAGAATGGTCGCTCTCTGCGGAGACTTGACAAGTGAGCTTGGTTGGATTTGGCAGTAGAACTTAGTAATCGTCTGTCTGTGGCTCTGAAAAATGAATGAGGAAAGGAACAGAGATGGTATGACCAAAACAAAAGTGTAGCCCTGAAAAAGTGATTATTCGAGATAGACTCTTGCTTTCCATGCAGATGGTGCATTAAACATGTTTGCTTTGTATTGTTGGAGATTGCTTTCGCTCTCTATAGAGTAGAATGAAGGTTATTTTCATTTCATTTTATTCTTGGGATGTACTTGAGTATGTTTCAGTATGTGCATGTGGTGTCTTAGTTCTGAAATCTTTATCAGAGAGACTTTACAAAACCATCCAAACTGGGCCTCCTTGGTAACTGTCACACTGTAGTTGAACTTCTGTTTAAACTTACTGTGTGGATGGGAGTGGTTGCTGAAACAGGTGAATTGCTTACATCCACATCAGAAGTTATCCAGTAGAACTAAAATTTGTACTGTTATGCTAAAATACAGATTTTTTTTTCAGTTTGGTACTCAATGTTGATTTTTTAGCCATTAATGTGATAATTCTATAAAAATATTTCTAGATCATTTTTTGTTACAGGGTTCCTTAGCCAACTTTACCAAATGTGGGGGAGATGTTAGAGAGAGAGAGAACTCCCCATCTGAAACATAACATGCAATGTCTTCTTTTTGCTGTTGTATGCAAGCAGTGTAAAATCACACCACTAGAACAGGAGGTGACTTGTTGCTGATTTTTGTTCTGAAGTCTTTACTACTTACTAATATGAAGTTGTTCTGGGTAGGTTTGGGGAACTTTGGCTTTAACGTTTTGTTTTTCTTTATTTCCTCCCTTTTTGTAGAGTAGGTGTTCTGGTTATAGGGTTGGATAGAAATATACATGTCCTAAAACTCCAGAACCTTTCTCTTTAAAGGGGACTTACCTTCAGTCATGTATATACTCCGTCTGTGGAAACATAAGCATTTCTATCTGGTTTTGTGTGGAAAAAGTTATTGCTTCTGGAACTACTCTTTTCTGCCTGAAGCTGTACCACTCAGGGTTCTTTATTACAATAGACAGACTGGGACGTGAACATCGATATAAGGAATATTCCATGATATGCTGTGACATTCACTCCAGGTTCTAAATTTGTGGCTGAAAGCTGAGTTATAGCAGTGAACAGATGTCTAAAGGAGTCGTTTGATGCTTGTACTACTTTGAATGTTTTCTTCTGCTACTGTAGGACTATATTCTTTTCCTGTAACACTTATTATCAGAAGGAGGGTCAAAAATCCAAGAAAGAATTGAGGGTTGGCTAAGGAAGGGCAAGGTACAAAGAGTGACTAATAGTGATCAACAAGAAGGTGGATGTTTCTTGTTCTTTAGGTTTGGAAAGCTTTATTAGTGATGAATTGTAAAGATAGAGCTTGTTCTTATATGTTCATCAAGATTCATTGTTGACACAGAAAGCACTTAAAAACAGTGTAAACTGGGCAGTATGTATTAGGAAAAGCTAATTCTGAGCTCTTTTGTTTCTTGCAAGCGATGGGAATTGCGTAATGCGTATTTGTGTAGAGGAAGTCAGACTACAGAAATTTTGGACGAAATATGGTCAGTGTTACAATGTATGTGAAGAAAACTTGTTTAGTATTATGTTTCTTAGTCTTACTCATTCATTCTTCTTTCTGGCCTCTAAAGTACGTTTATAACTTTTCCTGATAAATTATACTTGTGCAAAGTGCACAGAAATGAGTTAGACACATGTTGTAACATGTATGTGAAGCTAGCTAGGGACGAGAGAAATCTTTCACTGTGATTTTGTCAATGTCAGATTTTTAATGATGCTTGCCTCCACAGGGTTGCTCTCCAGAGGCAATCCCATAACTGAGTGTTTTTGAAGTATTTTCTTAGAGCTTTATTACAGGGATAGAGATATAAATCAGTCCCACCAGGAGATGCAAGTCAACGAAGAGTATAAAATGTTATTGTAGTAAAAAGTCTGGTGGTGATGGCAGGGGTTGGAAATAGTGGTAGGTTTAAGGTTAGGTCAAGACTAAGGGTTTTTTTTGTACTGTTTTTAACCCTTTTCATTCTCAGAACATGTATGTTGTATTGGACCTTGCCCAAGATAATGAACCAGCCTAACAAAACAGGGCGTAATGTGGCCTTTCTTTAGAAGAACATGGAAGTGATTACACCTTATATGTGAACTGTGATTTTCATGTCCTGAAGCCTGAAAGACCTCTTTGAATCAGCTTAGGAAACACAGGGCTGAGAAAATCAGATCCAGCACCTGCTGTGTCATGAAGTTCTAGCAGCTGATCTATCCTTTCTTCTCCTGAAAATGTCTTTGAAAATATGGTGGCTTCTGGACTTTCTCTGGTATTTGATTGTAGAGTTTAATTTTGAAAACTGTCTTCTACCTCTCGTAAACTGTCAAAACAAATGGTTCTGACAGTGACTGAAAAGGCATAGATGAAGAAAATATTTC